TATCTATCTGTCTGTCTATCTATCTATCTATCTATCCCTTTCATCTGTCTATCTGTCTAGCTGTCTACCTGTCTATCTGCCTGTCTATCTATCTATCTATCTGTCTATCTGTCTATCTGTCTACCTGTCTATCTGTGGTGCAGTGTCATTCAGTGTAATGTAGTGTAGTGTAATGTAGTGTAGTGTATGGAGTGTAGTGGAATGTAGTGTAGTGTAGTGTAATGTAGTGTAGTGTAGTGTAATTTAGTGTCGTGGAGTGTAGTGGAGTGTAGTGGAGTGGAGTGTAGTGGAGTGTGTTGTGTAGTTGTAATTGTAGTGTAGTGGAGTGTGTAGTGTAGGATAATGTATATAGTGAAGTGTAGTGGAAGGTAGTGTAGTGTAATGTAGTGTAGTGTAGTGTAGTGGTGCGTAATGTAGTGTAATGTAGTGTAGTTTCGTGTAATTTAGTGTACTGGAGTGTAGTTGTGTAGTTGTAGTTGTAGTTGAACACTGTACATCATTGGGTTACAATGGGATAAACCATCTACGAACTGGTGCAGGATTTCTTCCGTAGTAGTTTTATTGATAACAACTAAAACTGGTTGGTGGTATACCTACCCCTCTGAAAAATATGAAAGTCAATGGGAAGGATTATCCCATATATTATGGAAAATAAACAATGTTTGAAACCACCAACCAGAAAATTAGGCCTCATCCATTATCTACAAATGATTTCGGTGTAGATAAACGGATTGATTTAAGGGAACATCTATGCGAGATTTAGCCACTAATATCAGGGTTGTTTCCCGTAGTTTATTTCCGAGCCAATTTCTGGGAGTGTAAATATGTAAGCGATGCTTGTAATGAACATGATTAAGGGAACCACAAAAGATTTCCCACTATATCATACTATATCGATGGAACTAACCTCGAAACCATTCCATCTAATCACCATCACCAGGTTGATGCAAGAGAATCAATTGGATTAAACATGATTAAACCGCAGTGAAATATCAGGTTTCCAGGTTCATGTTCTGTGTTATTCACCGAGGAATTCAAACAACCTCAAATAAACCGGTTCCCACTTAAATAAGTGCTGCATTCCACATCTACCCCACCTGCATCAGTGTTCGGCCTCACACCAATAAGGGCTTCATCATTGGGACCTTAAATGATGTTAGATTCTTCAAAAACAATATCTGGTTGGTGGTTGAGCCACCCCTCTGAAAAATGATGGAGTTCGTCAGTTGGGATGATGACATTCTCAAGATATGCAAAAATACAACATTTTCCAAACCACCAATCAGATATGATAATTCACAATCAAGTCCTCACCGTTTTGTTTCAAGGTCATTAAATTGATAGTTTCCTCAAGAACTTAGCCGGGCTTTACCTTGTTCAGTTGACGCACATAGTCCAAACTATATTCAGTCGCTGTGGGGCAATCACCAACAAAGGTTACTGGTTGATGGTTTCAACCCCTCAAAATTAGTCATTAGGTATCAAGAGCCCATTTCTCTGGTTGAACATTGAAACACATTTGAACCACCAACATCAAATTATGTTGAAAACTAACATGCCATCCCAAATACCAAACCAGTTCCCAAAGAACAATTATCAATTTGAACAATATGAGGGCTGATTTGTGGATTATTGTGCTAAACTCATGTAAACGCAAGAAAGTCAAACTAAATATAGTTTATTGCTAAAATTACCTCAAGCTTCATGTCATACAAATAAAACTGGGAATATTCACCAGGTATTTAGATAGCATGCAAATTCTATCCATCAATCTATTGGTTTGTTAGGGAAACTCTACAGTTGTGAAACCTGTTGTTTTTCCCTCCATATATTATAGGGGTTCCAGGGGTTCCGGGTTTCGATTTGGCCATGTTTCCCTTCAACAAATTCTCGGTATGCAATTTCGGATTACTGGGTCTAAACTAGATAATTAATACAAAATTGCACACTCCCCACGAGCTGAAAGTAACTCAACCCACCTCAATTCTCATGTCATACTACCCTCTGGTAAACTAACATAGCTATTGAGAATGGCTATTTATAGTGGATTTACCAATTAAAAGCATGGTGATTTTCCAGTTCGTTACGTTAGTCTACCAGAGGGTAATGAACATAGGCAAATGCACCAGTTTATTTCAAAACCTGAAGATTCGGCCCTGTGACGTCGCAGTGAGGCCATTATAATATCAATGGGAGATCTCCAGGATCCAACAAATGGAGGTACTGACTGAGTACCATTTTTCAGGCCATATGAATTGTGGGGATATTTCCTGAAATTTAGGCCTGAAAAATGGGCCTTATATAGGTACCTCCAATGAATCGGTTCCGAAATGGCCATTGACTTGGGATGGAGTTTATGTTGACTACTTGGAGGATCATCCTACCTGGTAAACGGTTGATAAGGCTGGTTAGTAAGTCCCCATTCAGTGGGATTATGCCATTTATAATATGGATTACCCTCTGATAATATCCAGATAATATACCCAATTGGGTATGATTCAAAATTAAACACCTGGGGGACCACAGATTCAAGTCCAGTTGAAGTCCTAACCATCCAATAATTGGGTACTCAATTTTGACACATATCCAATTATATCCCAAAGATCATGATATCCACATGATTAACCCATACACAGGCATAAAACTATGCGACAAAATCGCACTGCTTTTCCACCATACTGTTTTGGCTAATCCCCACAATCTTTTAGGGTGAAACTGTCCATCATATCTCCATTTTGTGAAACTGGTTGGTTTTACAGCTTCATTTTCTTGAACAAATCATAGTAAGGCAGTAAGGCCCTATTTTTGTTGGCTACATCCACATCTTTGATGCTAAATCAAATCCATAAATAACTTAAAATCACTATTCTTCTTGGTTAAACCACCATTTTGCTTGGTGAAATCCCCAAGGGACAACGGGACAACCCAAAAAAAGAGGCGTCGTTTTTCGCTGAGTGCCCCCGGCCAACAGACTGAAGCTGGTGGCATCGAGGCCAAACTTCTCCAGGTAGATATCTTTGGCCACTCCCACGGCTCCCATCCTTGGAATTTCCCGGGTGATTTAACCATCAAATTGTCGGAAATTAACGTACCCTCTGGTAAACTTACAAAAAGCTATTGAAAATGGCCATAGAAATAGTGGATTTTCCCATAAAAAATTGTGATTTTCAATAGCTATGTTAAATTACCAGAGGGTAGACTCGGCAACAGATGCTTGGAAGATTCATTTCCACGCAAAATTTGGGTGATTTTCAGGGTACTGTGAAAATTTACTAGAGGGTAAACGACCAACAGACTGGGTGACAGGGACGAACAGAAAGCTGATCTTAGGTACTGAATCACAGAATTGGTCTATGGATGTCTATGGGTATAGGTATACACACCGCGGTATTGGGAGGTCTGGGTACACTCTATCTTGGGAGTCTTCGTTTGAAAAAGCCACAAATGCTGGGTACGACCATTTGTAAATATGGGAATAATATCGACTGCCAGTTTCATTATTGGTATGGAGACCCAATAAGAAATGGGGTACCCCTAGACCGAAACAAATGGTCGAGTTTGGGATTACATAATTTGCTCCTTTGATGCTAATTTACATCCGGCTTTTGGATCGCTTCCTCCATTGGAGCGACCCAAACACCGCTGCTAGAGAGTGTGGCTTGTCGTGATGCGGAAATTACAAATCTAGTTGATAGTTTCAACAACCTCTGAAAAATATGAGTTCGTCAGTTGGGATGATGACATTCCCAATATATGGAAAGTCATAAAATTCCATGGTTCCAAACCAACCAGAAATTGGTGGTTTCTTAAAATGGGTGACTTATGGTGACCCCATGGCGGTTCCTTCCACTTAGGATCCATGGTTAAGCCCAGTGGATCAGATGTGGATGAATACCCTACTTATCCCACTGAAAAAACTGGGCTTATAACCCACTTAGGATCCGTGGGATGAGCACACCAAGTAGTTTTCCCAAGAAAAACCAACCACTTTTGAACATCGAGTCGCTCAAACATCCAGCAGTGTGTGTGTGTGTCAATCCAGGGCTAGCAAAAATGGCTTATCATGGCCAATCGGCAGCATACCTATCTAATGATCTAATTCTAGTAGGAGCAGTGTACCTTTATAGGACTGTACCTCCCACAACGGGAGAAAAGTAATTTGCCACTGTTTCAGTAGGAATTGAACTGTCATTTTTGTTGGTTGGTTGTTGTAGTTTGGTATGATATAGTAAGCGCCAAAAACCATAGCAATAACCATAGCAAAAACCACATGGAATTCATGACATGTTTCTGGTGAACCCTTCACCGAGGTATTTTCAGATGTTGTGCATCATTTCTGGGATTGTTACTGGCTCGTTGGTGGTTTTAACCATCTTGAAAAAATATTAGTCAATGGGCAGGATTATCCCATATATTATGGAAAATAAAACATGTTTGAAACCACCAACCGGCTGGGATTGTTTCTAGGTGCTATCAACCCCTCTGTTGAAAGCTCTGCAGCTAATTCATCAACCGTGACTTGAGAATCATCAATCCGGGAGTTGACAATACAGTGATGATGGAAGTCTAAGTGCATTGCTAACGGAAAAAAAAAAACAAAGACATGTAACGAATATTCCCCCCAAATCTCTTCGACTCCTTTTCCGCTTTTAGCTGATTGTTGCCAACAGGAAACATGCTTGATGCAATACAGAAAACAAATACCCTCTGGTAAACTAACAGTTTGCCATGGAAAATGGCCCATTTATAGATGGTTTACCATGGTTTACCTATCAAAAATTGTGATTTTCTATAGCAAACTGTTAGTCATTACCAGAGGGTACACGTTACAATCATCTGCATCTACTGGTCTCTGATGGTAGAATCCCCTGCGCCAAGATGTAGCCCCAAAAAATATCTGACTTTTCACCACCAGAATCCCCACCATTGTTTTCTGGTTCCATCCCGTTTTTAAGGCGGCCAATAATCACCATGCCCCCAGCATGGGACCATGGGCCAAGTTATCCAAGTTGCATGAAGAATGGACTGAAGAGCGCCATTGCAAAGCGCGCTTTGCGAAACCATGAATGACCCGAGGGCCCCCTGACGGAATCCCGGGTCGGTTCTGCTGCAGAAACCCCGGTAAGACCCCGGTCGGCAAGACCTTCAGTAAAAATGGTTCCGGGAAAATCGTAACGACTGACACCACTGGAATCCCATGGATGAATTTTGGATTGTCACTACCAGTACTATGGTTAGCAAAACGAGTCATTTGACTTTCGGGGATTTCGGGGAGTTTGCTTATCTGTTTGGTGTTCTTTTAACCCATGCCAAACATGTCTGGTTGGTGGTTGAGCCAACCCTCTGAAAAATATGAAAGTCAGTTGGGATTATTCTTCCCAATGTATGGAAAATCATAAAATTCCATGGTTCCAAACCACCAACCAGACTATTAACCACTATTAACCACTATTAAACCACAACTGTTCCAAACCATGACAAACCAGATGAGAACTAGTCAGTCGGGAATCATCCCAGGTAGGCAATGAGAACTGAGGATCGGCGCATCGGGGACAATGGGATGAATCTCGGCCCTTTTTTTTGTGCGACGACCTGGGACTTTGCATGAAAATTGGATACTCAAAAAAAAAAGTGGTTTATCAAACATCATGTTCATCATCGTCTTCATCATCACAATAATCATTGTCATCATCATGATCATAGTTTACCCTCTAAACCAGCGATGGTGGGACATGTGCGAAACTTTTGATCCCCGTCCTGAAACAGCCCTTTTGCATACGGTTGTATATGTACGTATGTATGTCTTATGTGTATGTCTACGTCCCTTTCTCCCTGTCTCTCTGTCTCTGCGGGCAACTGCATGACTGCATGTCATGTCTGCATGCCTGTATGCATTCATAGTATGCCCAGCATACCCTTGTTCCCATGAACAAACAACCTAATATATTGCAGAGAAGCCTCCGGCAACCATTCATAGATGATGTTCCCAATAAACTTCGATACACTGGTTTTTTCCCATTGCTACGTTTGATGACACCGGTGGGTATTCATTGTAGTCAGTATCGTTGGTACTATCAACCTCCAGTTCATGGCCAATCTGAAATAGGTTGCAGAAAACATAGATCAGCTGGTCAGTATATATCCCCAAACATATATCTGGGTATATAATAATATTTCACTAACCTGAATTAAGGCCATTTGAGGATGATTCCCCTTACTAACCATGATTCCAGTGAGGTCGCAGTGAGGTCGTTATAATTTACCCAGATATATGTAATGTACTATATAACCAGATAGAAAAAACAAAAACGAGCGAGTAGTAAATAATGGAAATAATTCTAGCTATCAAGTACACCAAGTTTAGCACCATTCGCTATTTCTATTCAGTAAAATACATCCAACTAGCCATCCCACATCTTTGATCCAACTACCCATCCACTTGTTTTTTGTTTTAATCCCAATTTTGGGCCCATATAATCCCTATATGATTCTCATATAACCACCATATAATTTATCCAAAGCCCATCCCATATGATCCATGGTGCTGGTATATTTACCTACAAAACTGGGTGATTTTTAGGGCAAATGTTGGTAAATATACCAGCACCTAGGTTCGCATTTGGGCATGAAATCATCTCGAATCCACCGCGGTCCGCGGTCACATCGGTGCCTCGGTTGAAAGATAAACTGCCGTAAGCTGGAGCATCCGCGCTCCTGGAGAGCCGCGATGGTTTTTCACTGTTCAGTCCATGAAAACTAGGAACATATCATGTATTATCTACCAAGATTCACGAAAGTCTAGTGAAATACTAGTTACATCTAGTTACTAGTTATTCTAGTTCTAAGTGGATAATATATACCCTCTGGTTATTTAACATACATAGCCATGGAAATTCACCATTTCTACTAGATAAACCATCTATAAATGGGCCATCTATGCCATGGCAAACTGTTAAATAACCAGAGGGTAACCATCGTTTTTGGATAAATTATAATATTTCACTATCCTGAATTAAGGCCATTTGGGGATGATTCCCCTTATTAACCATGATTCCCAGTGAGGTCGCAGTGAGGTCGTTATAATTTACCCAGAACCATAGTTTTACAGTAACCATGGTTATACCCTTCTATGCCCCCAACTGCAGCCCCAAGTTCCCTCCACATGTCAGTGGTACAGCTGGATGGCCAGCGGATTCCCCCATTTTCAAACAAGGCCACACGTCAAAAATCTCTTGGAACATTCCCTACAATGGTATGTTGCTGGGGGTTCAAGACAAATCAAACTTGACAATTTCCAATATTTCAAGGGTAATATAACCCCCCAGAATCATCAATCATGGAAGCATCGTTCATTAATTTTGTATCGAGCAAAGCTCTATGATCACACAGCAAATCACTGACTAAACCAACCGGGCTTTCGGAAGATTTTTGCATTTAACATGATTTAACCCTTCTACAGGGTGGTGCCCCAGTTCGGAATTGCTAAGTTGGTGCCAATAAGTCCAATAACTATGGTTTTTGTTGGTGATATAACTATAGTTGTCATGGGTTTATAACCCATTTATAACTGGGGGGGGGCACCACCTTCTACTCCTCATGTTTGATGCTTAACTTAGCCTCCATTCAAACCACCATAGTCATCGCTCCTTCGGCATTGGAAGGTCCTCCGACTTCATGACGCGTCCCAAAGGTCGCGGCTACGAGATGAAACGGGGGAAACCGAGTCCCACGGAATATTCTGGCAAGATACCATTGATTACCCTGGGTTCATGGCTTACATCCCGCACTGAATGTTGAAATACTTTGAAGATCCATAATTTTGGATGGATTTTGTGGATCTGGAGCAGTTGGAGCTCTACAAGTTGGAAACAGGACCCCCCCTGTAGATCTCTTTCAACACGGGGGGCCTCCAATCCTGCACAGACCAATTTGAAACTTCAAGTGAGCCGAGAATCACAGGAAGCACCGCAGTCTTACTGGTGCTTAGCAGGGAATGAGGGAATGATCCACAATAACTACCAATAATCATCCCATTCCCGCATTCCAATCCATTCCCTACTAAGCACCAGTAAGCAGTTGATCCTTTTGAATGGATTCTTGGGATCATCTTCGACATCGCGATGCCACCGAAATCAGGATCCCAAAGCTGGTTTCTGTTCGATTCCAGTGCATGGGAGTCAAATCCTGAAAAAAAAACTCAAAAAATCAACATGTTCTTACCCATATGATCCATTGGTATATTTACCTACAAAACTGGGTGATTTTTAGGGTAAATTTTGGTAACTATACCATACATGGAGCATGTGGGTTATACAGCAAGTCTCCCGCATGTGTCCATGGTTCGTAGGGGGACAAGATTCAAGAGTCTTGTTGAAATTCTATTGATTGAATCACTGTCCTTTGTGTGTCATATACCATCATCATACCATCCATAGTTGGATGATACAAGGGGGGGCCCATGAGTTATGTCTGCTGGTTTATAACCCTGTTAAATACTATGCTGGTTGGTGATTTCAACCATCTTGAAAAATATGAATCAAAGGGAATCATTATTCCCATATATTATGAAAAATAAAAACAAGTTCCAAACCACCAACCAGCAGCTTTTTCTGGGTAAGGATCACAAAAAAATCAAGCTACAACATGGAGGATTCGGTACAAACACTAACCATAAGGTGCCTGAGATCTGCCAGGCAAAAGGTGAGTTTCGCGTTATGAGAATGGCAAATTCACAAAGGAAACAAACACGGGATTACCTGAATAATCATTATAAATTATATCCCATTATCCGATTATATACTGTGTATTCCAACAATAGTGACATTATCATTGTATAAGTGCGTCCTAAAACTCACTGTATCCCATTATTATCCACTAGATTATTCCTTATATCCCTATCTTCGGGAGTGGGCCAAGACATGTGCATCTTATGACCCAGTTACCTTGTGGTAATTTAACATAGTTACGGAACAAGAACCCATGAAAAACACAACATTCATAGGTGAATCATCTGAGCAATTTTTGGCAGTTGTCTGTCGTTTTGTCAAATAACCAGATGGTACATGTAACATCTCCAATCGGTCTTGTCTAAATATGTTATATATGGGCTATGAACCACCTATACTGGCATGCAACCCGTATATCCCATTAAAATAAACGTAACAATTAAAATCATATACACACGTTTGGTACTGTTTGATCAGTTGTTGCAACTATCCTTGATACGAAGGTTTATGGACAACTATAGCTTTTGGGTAAGATTTATATGACATATAGCCCATTCATAGTTTGTCTGAAAATAGGGTACCTATAATTTGATGGTTGAGTATAATTTTCCCTACTTGGTGGCGAACTACCCACTTCGTAAGTAGGTTGTAACCCTGGTTATAAGTGGATTAACCCTACTTATCCCACTGAAAAAACCAGGGATATAAGCTACTTAGGATTCGTGGGTAGTTCACCACCAAGTAACCAGAATACTAACCATCATTAACCATGGTTAAACCATATTTTCCCAACATTTTCCCAAGACTTTCCCAAAAATTCTGGGGTATGTATCCCTTATTTCTTTCATGTTGCCGCGGACGACAGAACCCTCTGTCGTCATCCAAGTTCCCGGGCAGATGAACTCGGGGTGCTTCCCTGCGCCAACGTGGGGGGGTGCTGTACTGAATATGGCCATCAATATGGTTTGCATGTTGAACAAATCATGGGAGTACTTGGTGGTGAACTATCCACGAATCCTTTAGGTAGGTTAGTTCACCCTGTTTTTTTCAGTGGGATAAGTAGAGTTCACCCACTTATAACTAGGGTATAGTTATAACCTACTTATTAAGTGGGATGAGCCACCCAGTATGCTTTGCATGTTGAAAAAAATGGGAGTAAAAAAAAAACAATATTACCGGAAATTGTTGTGCTGAGCATCCGAAGCAACTGGTTTATCCAACTGACTGGCTGGGTGATTTTGGAATAACAGCTCCGTTGAGGTCAAAATGTACAGTTTTAGGGTTTCAGGCCTTAGGGTTTCGGGGGTTTAGGGTTTATTGTTTTGGACAGGTGCAAAAAATCTGGCACTACACAGGGATTTGAGCATGTCAAAGGATATGCGGGACTTGTCATTGGCAAACATGGGGTTTGCACCGAACATAAAATACACATACCATCCCAAATGCTCCATGTATGGTATATTTACTAACATTTACCCTAAAAATCACCCAGTTTTGTAATGTTTTGTAGGTAAATATACCAGCACCACGGATCATATGGGAATCAATGTTGATTTACTCGAACATTAAGTTGCCATCTGGCTTGTTTTCACCCCCATGTGCTGTATCAACTAACGGGTACAAGATGGTTTTCCATAGGCTAAGTTGGTTTCCAACTAGGTCAACTAGAGTTTGAAATGATTATAACTAAGCTTAAAAAGTTTATGAACCCAATATTCTAATTCACCATTAAATCCCATTATATATCATTATATCACATATGTTTGGTTTAATGCCAATTGTAAATTATTATTTAGAATCCATGAATGTAATCATCCCATCAAAAAAACAATAACAATTACCATTAGATAACCACATTCTTACTCATATACTGTACCAAGTGTATCGCAATTACAATCCCTGAAATAGTCATAATCCATCGTAGTCCACTATGCCCAGTATATCACCATTGGCTGTATACCCAGTATATTCATAGAATCCATGAAGCTTTCTCGTTGCCACGTTTGATTTCTTTTGATGACACCTCAGGGTAAATCCCATTCAGTATCCAGTATTAAACCATTACTAAGCCAGGATACCTTTGAAATATCCAATATTTATCTTGGATTTGCTTAAGGGGTCCCCAAAAAATAGAACATATTCACTTAATCGATTCCCCATTTCTGGTGGATTGTCCATTGGGAAAATAAAAAAACACCGACTAAACAAACCCAGGTTATAGATAGCTTTTGGGGTTTTCCCATGTCAGCCTTCATCCTGTCCCGACCTGAGCACTGCCGCCCACCAGCGTTAAGAGAAGCCTCGGTTGATTTTGTTGGCCGATGCTGTGGCGAACCAGCTGAAAAAGTCAAGAACCAGCTGGAGATTATATAAGATGATCATCAGATTGGGTGATAAAAATATGGATATGATATGATGATGGAAATCATTCAGATATTATGGAACATCTAGCGTGGATATTATCTCAGATGATATGGGATGATCTTGGATGATCAATGGAATGGTTGAAGGGAAAATCGAAACCGGAAACCGTTTAAATATCTGTTTAAACTAGTCCATTGAGATGAACTTCAAATGGGGTGATTCATTTGGATAGGAATATGGAAACCACCCATGGTGGAACATATACTATGGAACATCTCAGATATGAGGTAATCATAATATGCTCCATGGTCCATGGTATGTTTACAGCTACATGTTGGTGATTTCAGGGGTAAAACATGGTGAATATTCCATGAAATGACGGCCTCAAAACCATGTTGTGGTGAATCTATTTGGAAATTCTGCCCCCATGCCGGTGACCGGTTGCCGTGAATGTTCGTTGTTCGGTCCGCCCCGGGTAAATGATTCGTGGCTTGCTGTCCGAATACCGGTGTCATCAAACGTGGAAGATCCATGATCCACATCACCAATTTAATTGATTTATAGATGACGATACGTCCCATGTGATCCATGTATGATATATTTACCTACATTTGGATTATTTTTAGTGTAAATATTGGTAAATATACCAGCACCATGTTTCGCATTTGGGATATCTAATCTACCGCAAATCCTGGACCGTGAAATTGTAGTTAGGACCACCTTGTTGCTGGGACCACCTCACTTGCGCAACTCTACAGTGATGACCGTTTACCCATTGTAAAATATTGTAAATGGTGAAATGACTGGTTATTTCTATGGGATTATAACTTCAATAAATGGGGTTTTGTCAGTACTTATAACTGGTATTTCGGGCCATAACTGTAATCCCCAATTGTTTTGCATCCTCCCCACAGCGTGGACAAACTCCTCAGCCCAGCAACGCCAGTTTCGGCACGGGCAAGCCAGACAACCAGGGCGCAGTGCTTGTCACCAATGCGGCGCGACCCTGCCATTCGTCGTGGCCATAGTCGCTCCAGAAGCGCCGAAAAGTGTCCTGGCAGGAGAACATTTAGCGGCTTTCTCAGCCGCGTTGGCGATGTAGCATGAAGTAACCAGCAACAAAACAACTCTATATAATGTAATCTAACATAGCTAAATAGCTATTGAAAATTACCATTTATAGTGTTAAACATGGTGATTTTCCATAGTTATGTTAGCAACCAAAAAAAATACATCTGGTTGGTGGTTGACCTACCCCTCTGAAAAATATGAGTCAGTTGGGATGATGAAATTCCCAATATATGGAAAAATAACAAATGTTCCAAACCACCAACCAGATATAGAATATACCTTCAGCAATTCCAGATCTGGTCATTTATCTAGCTGAATGGGACAATTTAACGAAAATCTAAGGATCTATACAGCCAACGATAAGGGGGACCCACAGTAACCGCTAAAAAATGATGTACCACTTCAGTTGATCTCACGTCATTGTGGATTATCCCGTATTGAATGAAGTTGTGTGTTCATCACCATTTGTTTTGAATGATTGCCACCAAAGATTGGGTATCTGAAATTGAAAGTTGGAATGATGAGAACCCCGCAATAATGCCATACAGATTGATTCATCAAATATATTAAATGCTAGATATGATAATATTGCATTGCTGGCTATTTTTTTGATTCAAAAAACATATTTTTTAATGGTGAACATCCACTGTAACACACTGTAGCACCGCGCACCAAAACTTTAGATACCCCGGGAAAACACCATAAATTCGTATCACGGTTCATTCTAGATAGTTATGGCAAATGGCCTTCTCTAGTCATTTACCTATTGTAAATTATTCTCCATAGCAATTTGTTAGTTTACCAGGGGTGATAATGATGTGGCACCTTCCTCCAATTGTATAGATACCCTCTGTTCCCAATTTAATTTTATAGAATTTCATAGATGATTTTCCCACTAAACCCAACATTTACTAACGGAATTTTCCACAAAGCCACGTTTGAGTACCAGAGGGTAACATCATTTCTCAACCCACCATCACTTATCACTCACATCCCCATTGTTCATGATTAACCCCCAAAAAAATATAGATAAATCACTTTAAAATCTTGTCAACCACTCCAAGTACCGATATCTCCCTATCTCATGCAATATTTTGATGGTTTTTTGGCCCACCATATTTTGGTAGATAAATCCACCATTTCAATGGTTAACCATGGTGGACCAATCCCCAATGGTTAGTAAGATACGGCAACTGGCTACCTCCAAAAAAATAGCACAAAATCATACATTTGGGGGTTTCTATAACCAATATATCGTATCAGTAAAACACTGTGAAGGTTGCTAATTACAACCAGATAACCAGATAATATTTATCTCGAGTCCGACTTTTTTGGGCACTATACGAATATATGGGGGGTTCCAGAAATGGAGGTATCCACCAAATGGATCCAAATGGATGGTTTATAATGGACAATCCTATTGCAGTAACATGGATGATTTAGAGGTACCCCCATTTATGGAAACCTCCATAAGTACATAGCCATCATGTAATCAATAAATATCAATAATATCACGAGAAATACATGGAACCATATCCAACAATTCCCTGACCTCTGTTTCAGGCATCACTTTGCCGCAGTCGCTCGCATCTCGGGACAGCCTCGAGCGTTCGGGAAACCGTGGCTCTGGGATATTCTGGGATGACAATATGGATACACCTTCTGGTTGGTGGTGGACCTACCCATCTGAAAAATATGAGTCAGTTGGGATGATGAACTTCCCAATATGATGGGAAAGTCATAAAATGTTCCAAACCACCAACCAGATTCTGGTGACAACAGCAAACTCGATCGTATCATCAGCAAACATCTTAAACATGACAATGAATTCTCAGAGAGTGGTGAAACCTAGTCATGTCTCGTGGCTGAAAAAAAACATCGAACCATTGGTTCTTAGCAGATTATTAACCATTTATCAACCATTTAGTAACCATATGAAGCAATATTTGCTCAAAATGACGATCATATCAGCCATTATTGACCATTCTTTGAACACACTATGTGAACACCGTAAAGCCAACAGTAAAACTGGTGAACTAAACCCACCTCTGTGATTTAGCTGGGGCAATACCTTGTACCCAAGTGGGACACGGTTGATAGGTTGCCACAAGGGAATGAAGACAATGACCGAGGCAACAAGTGGGATTGCCAAATTTGGAGTTTAGTTAATTGCAAACACTTACCCTCTGGTAATTTAACATAGCTATTGAAAATGGCCATTTATAGTGGATTTTCCCATTAAAAATGGTGATTTTCCATTGCTATGTTAGTTTACCAGAGGGTAGTTCCCAAATTTGACAATTCGACCTGCTTGCGACTGATTAAACTGTGGATAGTTTCCAAATTTGACACAACCACTATAGTTGGTTGTTATTAGTTGTGGATTTAACCAACTATGACTATAACGTGTTCGCCACAACCCCCACATTCGCCCATGCTCATCATATCCCCCTATATCTCCCTAGCTACATACTTGTCCCCCAAAGGCTGAACGCAAACACTGGCTATAGGCAGAGATTTAGACTTTAGGCTTTCAGGATTTGAGGTTCTATTATGGTTTCGGTCGGGTTCAGGGTTTTAGGTCTCTATGTTGTAGGCTTAGAATTTCAAGGTTTCAGGGTTTGTTTTGTTTGTTTTAAAATTGGCCCTACACAGGGATTTGAGAATACGGGAATGGATCGCGGGCACATCTAGGCTTTGCAACACACATGTCTGGTTGGTGGTTGATCTACCCCTCTGAAAAATATGAGTCAGTTGGGATGATGAAATTCCCAATATATGGAAAAAAAAAAAATGTTCCAAACCACCAACCAGATATAGAATATACCTTCAGCAATTCCAGATCTGGTCCATGGTTTTTACATGTTTTTACCATTAAGTAGTGGGTTTTCCTGTAAATTTCCCCTAAACCTAACCAGATGTTTTAAACGATCATAAATTTACCCAGATAAATTAAGGTTATAAAGCCATTAACATTCATTAAGTATAGATATATCACTGTATCACCTATAAAAACCATAGTAGTTATTGGCTTATAAACCTCTCATCATTCACCACTATAAAGCCATCACCAATAGTAATGGCTGGTACCACCCATTGATGGGGAAATAAATATATATCCATTAATTAATGATTTCAACGATCCCAACGAAATCCCCGTGGCCAAGCCAACCAAGCCACCGTTCGACATTGGTCGCTTCGATGAACATTTCGACCTCCACACCTGCGCGTTCTGGACAAAGATGTGGCAATGACAAGCTCTTCCAAACCATGGGAAAACCACAGGATCATGATAATTTAACCACTATAAATGGTGATTTAATGGTGAATTTCATGGGGTGATATGGGAATTACCCTCTGGTAATTTAACATAGCTATTGAACATCACCATGTTTAATGGGCATATCATATATAAATGATTATAAATGGTCATTTTCCATAGCAAACTGTTAGTTTACCATAGGGTACCTCCTCCATCCCATGGTTGAGACATGACATTTCCCTGGTTGGTGGTTGACCTACCCCTCTGAATAATGAAAGTCAATGGGAAGGATTATCCCATATATTATGGAAAATAAAAAATGTTTGAAACCACCAACAAGTTCCTCATCATAGATGGCCTCACATTGGAAGGTCAAAGCAAGTTTTGGACAAATCCAATAGTCATGGATGACCATTTTAGCACTGAAAGCTATGGCAGCTATGGTGACTTGGGGATCCCCCATTTTAAGAAATTTCCAGATCTTCCCCAGTATATGGAGGTTTCCTGAAATAAGGGTAACCCTAAATCATCCATTTTAATTGATGGGATTGCCCTTTGTAAACCATCCATTTTGGGGTACCCCCCCATTTATGGAACCCATCATGTCAACATATTTTTTCTTAGCCCATAAATAGCAGCAAAATATGTGATTCCTGCGAAGGGTGCATTCCCGTCATTGCTGCTACCCAGGCTTTGCTGCCTAAACCCCACATCAGGACATCTCCATTTTTTGACAACATTGATATACCATGATATACCCCTTCTGATTCCATTAACGCATAACACATGGCTATGTTATCATCATGTTGCGAAGTATTTCATGGCATTTCTTGGCCATCTGATTGGTGATCCATCCTTTTCAGCTTTTCCGACCCCCGTTGCTTCGTCTCCGGTTATACCCCAATGCCACATTTTGGGATGGTTAAAGCCCATGGTTAGCGCCATGAAAAGAGGTGGTGCCCCATAGGTAGCTTGGTTGCTAGCTTAAGTATTTATAATTAATCTGTCACAGCTGGGTTTCTGTTAGATGTGTCCAAACAGAGACATTTGAGCTAGAGACCAAGAAACATGGGGCACCGGATTGTGGGTGTGTTCCCAAACCTAATTTTTTTGATTTTGTTTTTTCCGTAGTTTGATGGTTGCGTATGGGTCTATCATGGGGCTATAAATGGGGATATATGACTGGGGATATCAATGGGACAAAAACGAACCAACTTGATCTGGGATGCTGTAATTCTCGGGTGAGTCCCCAACTCAGGTGCTGCACAAAATAAATGCTACGAACATTCTGTTGAGGCGTTTGCCTTGTTGCAGCCACATCATTATTGTAGTTACTTGTACTTCTGAAATCTGCAGGTTTCTGCGTCAAAGTCTTCTTGGCAACCAGTGACTACAAGCATCAGCTTGCAGTTGACCAGCTGACCCAGATTTCCCACCTTTAGCACATTACTGCTAGGGAAAGTTCTGGGTCATTCAGCAAAAGAGACTTGATGCGCCATGGTGGATTTCCCACTGGAAAAAAACAAACAATCATCTTGGGCAAATCCAACGCATTATGCTTAGGTTCGGATCCACTATTAATCCACTATGTTTATCATTAATAATATGGGAACTAGTGATATTTTGTTGGTGATCTATAGGTTTTGTTGGTGATTGATTAACTATTGTCCACTATTATCCACTATTATCCACTATTATCACTGGTTGCCCTCTGGTAAACTAACGTAGCTATGGAGAATCAACATTGGGTAAATCAACGAACTTTCTATGGCCATGTTCAATAGCAAACTGTTAGTTTTCCAGAGGGTATCTTCCCATATCATCCAATTGTTCACCATTGTTCACCATTGTTAACCCATTGTTCAACCATTAATTCCACCAGATAATCCACTATTATCCACTATTATCCATCATAACTACGATAACCATCATTCACCATCATTAAACATCATTGACCATCATTAACTATCATTAACCATTGCTAAACCCATGTTTTTCCCAAATGTTCCCAGTCAAATCCACCAGATTTTGCTCAACCTACGTCCAAGGCACGTTTCCCTTGCCACGTCGGTCTCCATCTTTGGAAGACCAAACCCTCCACCATTACGGCGTCGCCGGGTTGGGCCACACCCACCAGGTCGCCAAAGACGGTCCTCGTTGGTGGAGCCGTCGTTTTTTGCGGAACATGCGCCAGGAGTATGGATCAATGGTGATTAATGGTTAAACATGTTGATTATATAATGGAATTTCATGGTGATTAATGCTTCAACATGGTGATGTATGGTCAAACATGGGGATTAATGGTGATGAAATTTGTTGATTGTTGGGTGTGATTTGACCTTCAGCAAACATGGCAGTGGACATGACCCGTGGTGATCCATTTCGCTCAGACTGTAGGTGGTTTGATGGTGGTTTTGTGGTGAATTTATGGTGAAACCAATGGTGAATGTATGGTGAATATGGTACCATCTGGTTATGACTAACATAGCCATGGAAAGATCCACACATGCTATTAATAGGTAAACCATCTATTTCTATGGACCATCTATACCATGGCTATGTTAGTCATAACCAGAGGGTAGATCCCATTTCTTCGCTTTCAGGTAGTGATTGCATGACACGGTCGATGAATCGATCAAAAAACATGCGGAGCAGACCATTGGATTCTATCGTCGAACAGGGAGTAGCATGGAACCCCCTAATACTTGATCAAAATCGGTTTTGGTCTTAAAACCACTCTATTTACCCTTACCCTGGTTCCTTGCAAAGAGGTAAAACCTGCTTGCCTTCAGCCATGTACAGCACACTTTGAACCCGGAAATCTGCAGGGTGGTGCCCCTAGTTATAAGTTGGTTAAACCATAGATACCTAGATATATGTTGGTTTATAGTCCATAGAAACCTGTTCAAAAATTGGTTTATAAACCATGGATATAGTACCGGATTAAAACTTAGAAGGGGCCCCCAGTTTCCAAACCCGTGTTAGAATGGGGGTCACGGAGAACAACTTAGAATGCAGCATTCTAAGTTTAGGGGGTATAAGTCTATGGGTTATAAAATTGTCTTCTGCGGTGAGATTTTGGCCGCGGTGTCGTTCCGTAATGGCCGTATGTAAATTCCAAAACGGAGTTCTAAGTTTCAATCCGTCACTATAACCATAATAACTAGTTCCATATATCTACTATAAATCCTTTCGTGAAACTGGAGTTGTTTACCCACCAACGAATCGCGAACATTCATCGCTCACTGCACCAGCTTATGGCTGATCATCCAAGACTCACTGCACAGGATTGAGGTACAACACCAACGCCCATCGCTTGCATATCATCTTGCACTCCTCAGCGGAAACGGGGAGATGGGTGAAACATGGTGAAACTGTTGGCACCCAAAATGGAGGTTCATGCAATAAACCGTGTCATTGTAGGATGCACTTAGATCTTCGAGCATGCTTTGTGGTTCCTAAGTCCTAAGTCCTTATCTGTTTGACCCATACTTACCTTGGTAATTAGTTTCCCATTTTGGGAATGATGTTTAATCTTTTGAGATCTGCCCAAGTGTCTGTAAATTTCATCTGCTGCTTCAATTCTACGGAACCATTCATGGCCCACGAGCGACACGGAAAGATATGTCAGCTGCTTCGCCATCTCTACAGTCAAGACTTTTGTTGCAGTGGCGAGACACATACACATCACCAAGTATACCACTCCACCAAAGATCTGCTCACCGGGACGCTGAAAGATCATTCCCTGCGGATGGAAGCCCAGTAACCTCAACTTGATTGATGTCATGAGCCCGCGCCGAAACATGGAAAACACTTCCTTCCTTGAGTCCTTGTTGCTGACAAATCTCCATCCGCTGGTTTGCGGTTGAGCCTATGCCCAGCCACTCTCTTTGCGCTGAAACCTATTGTGTATGTCTTCCTCGGAAAGCAAGGCGTCCAACACCGAAAACACTCCAAAAGGCACAGTTTTCTTGATAAGCTATTGATTGTGGCACATAAAGCTTAGAACCGAGTCTGGTGTAATTTACCTTTGGGCATGTTTGCCACAAAGGGCATGTTCAGAACCTGCTGCTTTTCCCAAATTATCTTCCAGAACCTATATCTGCCAAAATCCAGCCAGACATGTCAGATTTGCCCACGCAGCAATTTATCAACGGTACTGCTTGGTATGGGCTGGTTTTAAAAAGATCAACCAAACTGAGTGGCCTTGATGTTGGACCCGGTGGTATATGTATTTCTTGTTTCCAAGGGCATTCTATACTGGTTGGTGGTTTGGAACATGTTTGATTTTTCCATATTGGGAATAATCATCCCAACTGACTTTCATATTTTTCAAGATGGTTAGAACCACCAACCAGCCATGATTGAAACTGGGTTTTGGATGGTGGTGGAACACTGTGTGTTTGGTTCAGTGATCCCAGTACGAATCAGGTTGATTTAAAACTTCAGAGTAGTACACAATAAAAATGATAATTAATCTTTGTCAAATCTTTATTTATGTCATAATGATATTGTACTTACAATAACATTTTATAACATCTTAAAATCTAAATAAGCTGCAAGTACATTTTTTCACTTTGCCACCAAACATCGGCCACATACTGAATATCATCATTTCCGGCATCCCGTCAGCTATTTGCCACAAAAATATGCGGATAGAATGGTGTTGCGAATTGCATTACTATGGTTATATCAAATGAATTAAAATGATATGTACCAGCAGACTGCATACAGTCAATACAGTATGATGGGAGGCTGTGCTGCATTAATCTGCGCAATCATACTTTTTAGTGAAGCAGATTCACATAGGCAGGAAATAGGCGCTGAAAACTAGTGCTTGGTTTGTTGTAACAACACCTTATTAAGATCATTATTTCCACAGGAGTGATGAAAACTTAACTTTTGAATATGCCGCCACATACCCATGAAGACATGATTCGTAAGATGATAACACTGATTGGTTAATGAACAAGTTAGGTGAATAACCTACTAGTACAGGCAGTTTACGCTTAAAAAACATAGTCAGCGACATGTCACTGATTTCAAAACATATATACATATATATATCATATATATAAAGTACAAAATAACAATTAAAACGTGTATATAAGTAAGTCCGCCAGTTCTTCCCCTGTTGATCCACATGCGAACAATATCCGTTTTCCTCAAGTTGTTCCCCTTTTGCTTCACATGGGAAACACCTCCAGCTAGCGAAAAAAAAAATGTGTCAAAATCTTCCAGCTTTACCCCGTTGGGTCCACATGTGATGAAAATGTTCCACTCCATTGAAAAACATCGCTACCCGGCCGCTACCCCATCTTATGGATCATAGTAGATCCCCATCACCCCAAATGCTGGATGATGAGGATTGGGGTGCTTGGTGATGGGTGGGTGGTGTTGGTGCTGATGGGTGACGATGGTAGATGATGGTAATTGTCATGGTGACGGGTGATGCTGTATATGGATGATGAACGGTGATATATACATACATATATGGGTGATGGTACTGGTGGATGATGGTGATGGATGAGGATGAGGATGAGCATGAGGTTGAGGATTATTTTGATGATGATGATGATGATGATAATGAGCCACATCATTTGAATAAAATAAATCATGGAAAACAACTTGTGTGGGCCATTTACCAAGGGAACCATGGGACTGTGTCACCATACAAAGAGGATATAGCATAAAAAATATATGATATCATAAGTACAACGTATAGTTCTAAAAACAAACAAACTAAAAATCGCAATCTCCTACGTCTCCCACCACGGAAGCCAATATTCAAAATATCCTTCATACAGCATCATTAAGCCTTCAACCCATGAGCCAAGACTCGGATTTCCTGAAAGTCCGCCATGCACGTCTCATCATGCGGCAGGCTTGCCTTGAATGTGCTGATGTGGATGTCTGGGGAAAAGCAACCATTTTTTTCCGACACAAACCTGGGATATTTTTACGGATCCCCATATCCCAACAATATCCCAAAATTCATGTATTCCAACAATCATTCTCCAAGTAAAATATGGTAAATTTTCCAACAGTCATCCAACATTCAACAAACCTGGGATATTCCCAATGTTTCTGGTAAATGATCACACTACTTACTGGTGCGTTTTACGCAGGGAATTTTCGGGAATGATCCACTGGCTAACTATCATTTTTATCATCCCAGCAACCCCAATCCCAACCCATCCAGCAACCCTACGTAAAACGCACGCACCAGTAAGACTTAGATCCCCATTAATATCCAATGAAATATGGTAAATGATCACACTTAAGAAAAAAAAACTGGGATATTCCCACGAATATGTCCCATTAAACCTGGGATATTCCCATCCAAGTTGCAAAGAGCTTGGAATGGCACTTCGACACTTTGGGACGCTTGGCCTCCGAAAAACAAAAACGCGCAGCCAGGGGGGATCATCAGCGAACTGGAAGCCATGGCACATAGAAATAGTTGATTTACCTATAATAAATATGGTGTTGTTGTTTTTTTCCATAGAAAACTGTTAAATTACCAGGGGGTAACTATAGATGGTTCATAACATAGCCATAGATGGCTTCACCATAGATACAGTTTGTTATATCCAACATAAACCATACTTGATGGTGGTTCATCCTACGAATCCTAAGTAGGTTATATCCGTGTGCTTTCACCAAAATAACACAGGGTGAAATAACCTAAGTGGGGTGCGCCACCAAGTAAAGTGGGGTACCCATTTAACATCCCCAATTAGACCATTTGAGCATTAAGACCTATGGTTTTGGGGATCCCCCATTGCGCCAAATGATGAGAAACCTCTACATACTTACTGGTACCATGGGGTACCATTTTCAACCACGCTCATATGGCTCATATGATGTCATATGGCCATATGGTTAAAAAAAGGTTATGAACATAGATTATGTCGGCACGCCATACATCCATACCATATCTTCGTACAAATAGTAACCTGGTTCTCTGGGGACACAAATGCAAACACCTCAATCATCAATGAACAAATCTCAGACATAGCAGCGTTAAGTGTAAGTAAGTTTATGTTTAAATCTTCAATCTACCCATGGTTTCCCCAACACAAGCAATCCAACCAACTAAACGCAACCATCCCAACTTCAACTCCTGATGCTCCCCCACTTTGTTGGTTTTCTTGGTATTGCTCGAGATGGCCCCTTTAGATTCCCCCAATGGTGGATTTCCCACTAAGAGAATGACAAAATCCACCATTATCCATAATAGTGGTCCACAAAATTCCATTAAATCACCATAATTAAATCCCAATAAAATCCCATTAGGTTATTTACCCCAACTTTCATGTCCCATAAAGGGCCCTGACCTTGGGATCCCATTTGGTCTGCTTTTGACCACCGGGACATTCTCGAGGAACTTCGAAGTCATATCCACAGGCGGCGGACGCGCGACAGCCGAAGCTATGCCCACACTGCCTCAATGCACAACGGCAGTCACCAAGTATAATTAGTATAGTTTAGTAGTTCATACTAAGTAGGTTAGTTCACCATGTTTTTGTTCAGTGGGTTTTCAGTAGGGTTAATCCACTGAAATAACTAGGGTTATAGCTAGTTAATACAAAAAATGATTTAGATGCCATCTTAGTGATATTATGATACTAATGATGCTAAAAAACAGTTTATTTACCAAGTATCAAATAGTTAATTAAAAAAATATGATTCAACCATCGTTATAATTAGTGACTCAACAATATTGATAATATTGCATTTAGTAGTATTAACTATCATTGATATTACTATCATTATAGCCATTTAGTAGTTTAGTAGTACTATCATTAAGTATCATATTATCACCAAGTTCATACATACAGTAGTTAAGTGGCAACAATGAGAATATGCTACGCAACACAAACATTGTGATTTTATTGGGATAGAATGATAATGCAATGATAGCCCAAATAGTTACGTAATGTTCAGTATAGTTAGCATAGTTATACGAACTACAGTAGTTGAGTCGAATGGAGTTTCAACCAACAAGAAATGGAGGTTTCCAAAGTCACGGGGTACCCCAAATCATCCAAACCAAATGGTTGACCATTTTAGTATTGAAACCCATGGTGACTTTGGGATCCGCCATTTTAAGAAACCCCCAAATGGATCCAAATGGATGTTTGACATTTTTTCACACCTTAAACAATCCCATCCAAACTTAGGATATTCAACTCAAAAACAAAAACACAATTTCTAAGCCGACTAAATTTAGGATATCTAAAACTAAAAAATAGGGCGTGAACCAACATGAAATGGATGTTTACATATCTGAAGTAAAACAATTTGGGATATCGAACAAACAGAACATGACTTCAATGTTTCGCAACATAAATTGGACTTTAGCCAACAACATTCCGTTGGTCAGGTGGCAGTGGCCATTTTGACGAAGGTGGCACATCTGGGCTTGGAAGATATGTGGATTGCAGTTGGGGTTATTGATAGATATGGCATGATATCGCCATGGTAAGTACTGCAGAAGTTCGGAAATGATTCGTATAGCTATAGTTATGACTGGATGATTTGTATAGTCCAGTTTTGATCAGTCATTTATATAACTGGTCATTTATATTCATTTATCATGTTATACCTATAACTTATAGGTTCGTTTATAGGTCCAACGAAATGACTGGTTTTTTGTGGATGTATTTCACCGTGTCGTTGGCAATTTTTGGGCCATCGCAAGACTTCTGGGTGATTTCATCGCATGGTTCATGGAGTTATTCATGGAGTTATATATCAGTGATAATCTGGAAGAATAGTGGTAAGTAGATGGAATAGTGGGTTAATAGTGGTTAACAATGGGATGATAATCTGGTTGGTGGTTGCTGCTAACCCCTCTGAAAAATGATGGACAACTCGTCAGTTGGGATGATGAAATTCCATTCCCAACTGTTTCTGGGAAGTCATAAAACTTCCATGGTTCCAGTCACCACCAACCAGTTTTGATTCATCATATTCCCATTGTTGTTGGTTTATAGCCTATGAAAACCACTATTAACCATCAACCACCAACCAGATACCCATAAAGAAAACCCACCAACCAGATACCCCTACAGACCCCAAAAGGCCAATCAGCCAGATACCTGGTGAACGTGGATAATCCCATTCATACCCAGCAAGACTAGTTAGGATTAGTTTCTACCCATCTAAGATTAACCTAGAAATATGGTTTTCCCAATAGGTGATTTGCACATATTTTCCTATGGTTGTCCAACACAGCTGTCGCGATATACCCAAGGCCGAGAACTCGCATCGAAAGTTGCGCCACTCTTGCACCACCTTGCCAGGCTTCCCAAGCACCGTGCGGCAATGCAAAAACACAAGGGAGCTACCCGTACTACATCTATTATCTAAAATAGGGGGGTGATCCATGTTAATCCTAAAATAGAGTAGTATAGTTAAGTAGTTAATCCAAAAACTTGAAATAGGATGTTTTGTTCTATATCTACAGAAATCTAAACAAGCAACAAAATGAGATGAATTCTGCAGTTAGCCATATTTCTATATCTACACACATCTGACAAACCAATGCCTGGGGTGGCAGCCGAAGGTGCTAAAAATCATGTTTCCACCCCAATATTTTGATGCCTGGGTTGCCCATTGATATGCTCATGGTGATTTATGGACAATCACCCATGGTGGTTTATTTTCTGAAAATTCAAATGGTGATTGTCCATTGTTATGTTCAATAAAACCAAAGGGTATATCTGTAAAAATACCACCAAATGATCAGAATATATCAGAATATCATTCATATCCACCATCATCAAGCATCATTCCATTTATAAATTTCATCATCATGTTGTCATGATTTTGGCATCATTATATCATCATTACCCTCCAGGAAATTAACACAGACCCTGGTAGTCATCGGGGTTGGAAGATTGGTTTCCACTAAAAAATATAGTTTTTTCAGGGTCCAACTGTGAATTTGCCAGAGGGTACATCCCATAAATGGGATCGTCATCATCGACCATCGTTATATCATTATGCTACCATCATCATATCATTGTATGAGGGTTTTAGAATGGAAAATCCCAGTAAAATTGATGATTTGTGGGTACCACCATTTTAGGAAATATCAATATAATCTATTATAAATATAACAATCAATCGGTATGTCATTACATCATTATACATCATGTTATTCTTATCATCATATCATTGTGTTACCGTCAGTATATCATACCATCAGTATATCATTATATCATCTATTATCTTACTATGCCAATCTTAGATGGGTGGAAACTAATCCTAGCTAGTCTTTTGGTATCAATGGGATTATCTACGTTCACCAGCTAATAATTTGTAATGTTTTGCAGGGTATCTGGCTGATTGGCTATGGTTATATCAGTTATATTATCATTTATATAACCATAATATATAACTGTTATAACATAATCCATTATATATATAAATAACTGATATAAATCATTATCATAATATCATCATTTATCATGATTTACTGCTTGGTGGTTGACCTACCCCTTTGGCAAATATGAAAGTCAGTTGGGATGATTATTCCATTCCCAACTGAATGGAAAGTCATAAAAAAAAATGTTCCAAACCACCAACCAGTGATTTTTCTCACCAGTTCCTCCGTTTCTCCAGCTGCCTTCACCGGCCCAGCGCGTGTGATGGTGCCACAAATGCAAACCAGTTGGCCATCATCGCCTCCGAATCGGGGGTGGAATGTGGTGGATCAGAAATGGACTCCCTATGGTAAACATACAAAAAACTATGGAAAACCACCATGCTATTAATGGGTAAATCAACTAATTATAAATGGTCATTTTCCATAGCTATGTTAAATTACCAGAGAATCAAACTTTGAGAGATGTCATCAACAACTATGACATTCCTGCTGGGAAACTAAACCCCTGCTGGACTGTGTAGGAAGAGGCTAATGATAGCGTAAAAATGACGCTTCAACCAAGAACTATGCGGATTTACCAAGTTTTTAAGTGGGGGATTGATACTTGAGCCGCGCCAAAAACCTATCTCCTTTGCCATGTCGCTTGGATATGCTTACGCTGGGGCTTGCGCACTGCTTACGCGCACACAGTGTTATCTTACGCGGGAACAATGAGAAAAAACTAGCTTACGCGGAGCTTACGCACTGGGAAATCTCGAAAAAATGATGCCTCACCACAGGTTTTGCTTACGCCACTGCTTGTTTTCACCGTCAAATATGTTTGCAGCATCAGCGTTGTGAGGATGAAGAAGAGCTAGAGGTCGAAGAAAAGGAAGAAGAGCTATGCGACAGAGGGGCAATTTGCTTCGAAAATTTCAAAAACAGTTCCAACGACGCGGTTTCTTTGGCGCCATTGCAGGTCCGAAAAGGCTTTTGTTTGCGCGGGCATGTGGGCTACTACTCAAAAAGTCAAGTTCAGCTTACGCGCTGCTTACGCGGAGCTTACGCGGAATGTGGCCATAGTGTTGGGGAATTATAACCAAAAAAAATATAACAATTAAGAAAACACAGAAGGAAACCATAATTGAGGGGCAATCTCTTACTTTGATTTGCACATGCCACACATGTGCTTACGCACAGTGCTTACGCAGCACATTCTTGACAAAAACCCTTACGCCACCTTGCGCCAACCAGGGTTTTGCTTACGCCCGATGCTCATATGACAAGGCCCTAATTAAAACAATTCAAAACGGTTTTTGGGGTCGCTCACTTGATTTATGATGAGTGTAAGTCTCTTTCTAGTTCCCTTTTAACGGATGGGTTTATGGTGGATATTTCTGCAGTTATATAGTCAGGCTTATAAACCAAGTTAAAACTTAGGGTCCCGTCCTGTAGGATCTCCTCCATATGGAGAGTTATGCTTAGGGTCAGGGTCTTATGAATGTGCTATAAGCTAATTTTCTTGGCTATTGGGTGTCATCTTGGGGTTCATTGTCAGGGGATGCCAGTACTGGTGGGGCATCAGCTAGGCCAGATTGTTTTTCTTAATGCCAGCTGGTGAATGTTGCCAACCATAGGTGGATGATGGTGGATGTCTTATTTTGGGGTGTATCTAATTCAACAATGCTGTATTCAGGACAATCATAGTCATCTGGACAAATCCTAATGAGTCCCAAAAGTGACTTGGGTAATGAAAGTGACGTATTCCCAAAACATTCTTTGCGGTAAAGGTTGTTTGACGCTTTCTCAGGTCATTTGTAATGGGTCGTAGTATTCATATGTCACATCATCAACAAGCTCTGCCTGCTTCTGTGGCACTCGCAGACCGCGGGCTTCACTGATGAGTTTTTCGATAAATCCTGTTCCGGCTCCTGGATTCGTTGACACTGAGATACCTTCCATACTTCTGTTGGGGACTTCGATGCGCTCTCCAGTCATGTAGACTGCTGTCATATACGCTGATGCATCGGCTTCGTACGTACGTTCATTGAAGCTGTGCCTCTGAACCTGC